TGCACCATATATATATATATATATGCACACATATTATCGTTCCTTTACAATTATATATATATATGTATGTATGATATGATATCTATATATATATATATATACACACACACACGCACACACACCTGTACACGTCTCAGCCAGTAGGCAACCCGAGCCGGAGATCTCCCAGAATGCTGGCGCGCTATCTGCCGGCCTCGGGAACACGGGAGGCGCGGGCTTAGAGTTTTGGGTTTTTTGGGGGCTCGGAATATGGGGTCTTCAGGGCTTCGGGTTTAGGGTTCAGGTTCTAGGGTTTAGGGTTTAGGTTCTAGGATTGTGTTTTGAGGCTGGGGTGGTTCTTCCTGTTCGCGGGTTTCGTTTTCGCGGTTTGGGCTTTGCGGCTTAGGGGCTTGGGGTGTGTTGCGGCTGTCGGGTGTTGGAAATTTAGGATCCGTTTCGAGGGTGGGAGTCTAGAGTGTGAACTAAACTGTTTCAAAGTGTTTAGTTAGGCAGCGCATGCTTTCGACTTGTTCTTGTTTGTGCTGTTGCGTCGTCTTTTCTTGTTGTGTGTGTATCTTCTTTTTCGTTTGATTGTATTGCTTTTGTTCTAGGCGGCCGATTCTGGCCGAGTTGGATGTTTCATGGAGCGGAAGATGTTTGTGCGTCGTTCAGGGATTCACGCTTCGAGCTTCACCCATGAACCCTGGAAGATGTACACCTGAAGCTTTAAACCCGGCACCCGATTGCAGGGGTAGGGATCCTGGCCAAATTCGAACAACCCCATGAACCCTAGAGCCCTAAATGCGGAAAACACAAGCTCAGAAGAATGCTGCAATCATCAACATAAGCATCTCTCTACATGTTTGAATAAACATACAGGTATGATAGAACGTACGCCCTGTATGTATCCCAAAAGTGTAACACCCCAAAGATCGTACCAACTCAAGCAGTCCAAAACCCCAATCCCTAAACCCTAAACCTCCAAACCCCGAAACTCCTAATTCTCCTAAAGCGTCAAGCCACGTCGCACCCCCCTCCCCCAAACAACAAGCAACAACAACACAACATAACAACTCCGTCCGGAGCTTCGTGTCGAAGGCGGCCTGTTTGGCGGCGGTGGAGCTGCGCCTTTCGCCGCGGCAAGTTCAGGATGCCACATGTTCCTAGGGTCATTTCTGGACCCTCTGCAGCCCTCCTTTAGAAGGGCTTTGAAGAGTTCTCTGTAAAAGTCCCTGACAGGTAGAGTCAAAGGGGATCTATGGAGCCCTGTGTCGTAGAGTATGGCGCTTAGGGCATGATAGTAGTTGCTATAGGAGATATAGGGTTTTGGGTTTAGGGTTTAGGGTATCTGGAGCCCTTGTCGTAGCGGTGCTTGGACAGGGATCTCGGGTGATGTCTACGTTGACTACGCTAGGGTTTCTAAGGTTTTTGGTTTAAGTTTCAAGGTTTCCTCTAGAGCCTCGAACCTTTGACCTACACCCCCAACTCTAAGACCTGAATGCTCGAACTCTAAACCCCGAAACCCCAAACCCCAATCCCTATACCCTCAACCCCAAAACTTCCCTGTAAGCAGCCCTGCACGCCCTCCAAAGCTACCACAACACGCCCCTAAACCCCCAGACCCTGAGTCCCAAAACCCAAAACCCTAAACCCCCAAAGCCGTCAAACCCTAAAGCCCCAAACACCCAAAACCACACACAAAAAAATAAACACCCCCAAAACCCACCCTATACCCTGAACCCAAAACCCAAAGCCCAAAAACCCCGATAATCCCATGGCCCTAAACCCTAAACCCTAAACCCTAAACTTTTACACCCTAAACCCTAAACGCTAAACCCTAAGCCCTAAACCCTAATCCCTAAACCCTAAGCCCTAAACCCTAAACCGTAGATCGTCGTCTCCAGGGCTCTTCGGAGGCGGCGTTTCCTCGACCTTCGGTGCGCCGCAAACATCAGGAGGCGTTTTAGGGATTTTGGGGTCTGGGGCTTTGGGTTTGGGGAGTTGGGGTTTGGGTTTTTTTTGGGGGGTTTTGGGGGGGTTTTGAGTTCAGGGGTTTAGGATTTTTTAAGTTTTGTGCAAGACGTTTGCAGACCATCCAGGCGAGAAACACGCCAAGATGTTTAACAAGGCGACATACACTGCGAGTTACAAAAACAAGCATTGCACCCTTTGCGCACTGCTCTGGTCAACTTTGTATAACACATCCTGTGGACACTACAAAATGCAAATAAAGCTCCAAGATGGAGACCCACTCAGAAGACTCCACCCCAGTGCCTCGTTTCATCCAGGCTTGAACTACCCACAAGAATCGAGGTCCGAGCAAAGCATCCGCAAAGTCTTGCGGCTGGAAACCACCAAACCGTTTTGAGCATGTGTTCATTCGAAGACACAGCAAGATCTGCACAAGTAGGTTGTTCAAGACCCTGTGCTTGATCATGCGACCGGGAGGTCCCCCGAACAATACTTTCTTGCAGTGCAAAAGGTTTGCAACTTTTATATATTCAGCATAAACCTGTCGGGCTTTTTAAGTTTTAGTGGTGCCTGGTTTAGGTTTCAGTCCGGTGCGTCTTTTGGGTTTTCGGAGGAGGGCGGGGTGGGGCTTTAGGGGTGGGTGAGATCAGGGGTTAGGGCTTGTCGGGTTTAGGGTTTTGTCATTTAGGATCTGTAGGGTTTAGAATTTAGGGTTCAGGGGTTTAGGGTAAAGGGTATCGTGTAAGCCAGGTCCTGTGGCGGCTGATTCGCCCACGACTTTGGAGCCTAAACTCGACAAATCCGACCTCCTGATGACAACGTTTTCAGGTGTTGGGGTAGAGGTGTGGGTGCATTCAATATTCAGACCTTCGAGTGTACCGAGAAGAAGCATTGTATTTTAGAGCTGAAGCGGACGACTCTCCAGCGCTGTCGGTGATTGATGGTGATCATCGTGCTGCTAGCAATGATGGAAACGAGCGCGACCAATGGGAGCGGGACGGACGCGATTGCTGATGGGACTATGAAAGCTCTTAGGGTTGTTGATGATGACCACTGCAAATGGGTTCAGTCCTATGACATAATTACGCCCGATGCCATCATGGTGGGGCTTCGGCATCACCCTTCGGTGGCGGGGCAAGTGCTGGCCCTTGCCGCGAGGAGGGTTCCAATGCCACCGACTGTGGTCATTAACGACGACTCGAACTTCAACAATCCGGCCAAGCCCTAAGCCTCAATACTCTAAACCCGTAAACCCTGATACCCTTATCCCTAAACCATAAACCCTAAACCCCCAAACCCCTAAACCCTAAACCCGAAACCAGACCAAATATCAGGGGAGTCTTGACCGGTACGCCCCTTACGATCGAGCTGAGATCTCTGCGGCTGCCTGGTCATCCATGGATCTTCGCTTTTAGGGTTTAGGGTTTGAGGTTATGCACCACATTGGGGGGGCCATCTATGTCCACGCACGAGAGTTGTCGAGCTCTTTCCTCCGAAGAACAACAAGTCTCTCCGTCGGCTTCGTTTCGTTCTACATGTTTGGGTTTCCTTAGTTTCCCTTAAGTTAAATGCAAAAGAGGAGCTTGTGGCAGCAAGTATGCAAGGACAGTGACAGCTACTCTTGGATTGGGGCTTGTGGATGATGTTGTAGTAATGACTATCCTGACCGACTGCTTCTGGGTTGTTTTGAAAGAACCAAATGACTCAGCTACCATAGGCAGGAAGCCATTGTATTTACTCTAGACCCCTAGGATGGTAGCTTAAATTCAGCCCCTTAACAAGAACCCGGTAGTTTGCACTCCTTCGTTCACCCCAGTGACAGCCGCCTACACCACGAAGCCCAAAGCACCACACTTTGACCTCACACCTCAGTCGGCCTCCAGCAATTCGCTCCACTGCACATCAATGAGAGGTGGAACCTAAACTCCTAAACCCTAAAGCGTGGGAGTCAAGGAGAGCACATGTCCACTGTAACAGAAACCTTGAAGCTCTAACATGCTCGAACATCATAGTAGCCCGTATAGAAGGCCTCTCGGGCCCCTTGGCTGTCCTTGTGCAGTGAAAGTCCCACTCTTGGGATGCTTGCAGGAGGTCTCTTTGGCGGTGGTGCTGCAGCTTCTCCCTTCGGCGCAAGCTCAGGAATCCGAATTCGAGGTAGTTTCAGCTGGGTAGGGTTTAGGGTTTAGGGTTTAAAACGACCTGAGGTTTATGTTTAGGTTTAGTAAGCGACTAGAACGAGAAATCGTTCGGGTACGACCGCCGCCGCTACCTACCACGAGCACTGCAGGACTGTGGCTGCTACTAACAGAAACACGAAGCGAGACCACCTTTCACAACAGTACGTTTTACGATTTATATATATATATATATATATTTATTTATTTATATATATTCATGTATGTATGCATACATATATATATATATATACTGCTGATCACCCTGGCTAAAACCTCATTCGGTAGCATGCGAACTTTGATATTTTGAGTGGTTCAGCAGCTTTAGGCACTCCTCGGCCCGCACGCAGAACGTCCAACATTTCCTCTTTCCCTTTCCCATTGTCTATTACCAGCTACCCAGAACACAACCACCATGACAACGACCGCAATCCACGACGACAATTCTACGACAACCTCACTAGCACGCATGCAAACTTTAATATGTTGAGTGGCTCAGTATCTTTATCTGCATACCTACTCCTGCTGGCCAGAACACAAAAAGAGCATCACAGCAAGGGCCACCCACGACAAGGACGATGGCGGCGGGCAGCAACAAATTCTGTGGAAGCAGCTTGAGGGCTTGGGGCTTACAAGCTGAATTCAAAAGGTCATTGTTTAAGGCTCCTAAACCCTTAACCCCTAAATCCTAAACCCTAAACCCCAAAGCCCTAAACCCTAAACCGGGTAGGGGCTTACAGGGTGTAGGGCCTGGGTTTGCCAGTGGCTGTGGTTCAAGGGCAATCAGGAACAAATCTCTTTTTGTGGCTGAAAATGCGAAACAGGTTTGGTTCGTCAACCCCGACCCCCCGAAACCCTCAGATCATGACCCCAAACCCTAAACTTAAACCCTAAACCCTAAACGGGTTTGTGTTTCGAGTTTCGGGTCTAGCACCGAGACCTCGGTGAGGGTCTGCATTGCATGAGAGGAGGCGGGCTGTTCGGCGGCGGCGCTTCGGCATCTCCCTTTGGTGGTGCCGCCTCAGGCGCTCTCGGTTCCATAGTATAAGCCCTAGAAAGTCCTACTGACTAGAACCCCAACGCGACAAGGAACGCTTCAGAAATCCTCAAACGAAGCCTTAAAGGGGGCACATGCCCTTTTGGGACCCTCAGGGAAGTCTATGGCTATGAGGATCTGTACCTGACCCTATGACCCCACAGATCCAGCGCAACATTTAGGATGTTGAACCCATGCATGTCCTCAGGCGCAGGGAAAACCGGGTGAACTTTAATATAGAACCATAAATAGCCGCATCGTCGTTCTAAGGAAATCCGCTTTGAGGACTCCTAAAATCACACTAGTGACTATGCGTCCGCCTCAAGGCCAATGATGCTTGTACCTGGCATCGAACTTCATTGCACTGCGACGAAAGGTTTCCAGAGAGCTGGTACTGCAGGTACGTAGCCCAGAAGGAACCCCTGTCCTTGCTTCTTTGGGGCAATCAGCCACAAGTTTGACCAAACTATGGCTCCTCCAACCTAAACCCTAAAGCCTAAACC